ACGTGGACAGATAGAGATATGACCCTCAGATGGTAGCACCTGCCTGGGGATGTAGGGCTAAAGCCCCGGGGGCAAGAAGGGTTGCAGTATAATCCTCACATCCCTCCCTCTCCTCAGAGGATGGCAGAGGGGAAGGAGGTCTGAGGAGGGGAGTCTGATGGAGCCAGTCTTGAGGAGAGAGGCTGTAAGGGACTTTATCTGACAGGATCACTCTGATGGGGAAGGCGAATCCGAAGGTGAGTGGGTCTGAGAGGGCCTGTGTGACAGGTTTAGTCCGGCAGAGGCCGGTCTGGAGCACGCTGCTGAAGGGGTCCTGTTTGGAAGGGCCGATCTGAGGGGACAGACTGATGCAGGCAACGTCTGAAGGGGACTACCAGTCTGAGGAGACTACTCTGAAGGCACAGAGGTCTGAGAATAGGATCTCCAACTAGTCCTGCTTTGCCGGGGACTTCCCAGTTTTAGCACTGAATATCTCGAGCCCTGGGACACCCCTCAGCCCCAGGCAAACCGGGGTAGTTGGTCACCCTATTTGAGAAGGCCTTGCCTAACAGTACTGATCTGAGAGGCCGGTCTGTGAGGGAGTGCATCTGAGGGCGCCTGTAATGACAGCACCAGTCTGAGGGGGGAGGCTGCTCAAGGCTGGAAGCTTCTTTGAGCAGAAACCAGGCTGCAAAGGGAGTGGAGAGTTTGGGTCCTTCCAGAAGGGTAGTGGCTTGGGGAGTGGCCACCAGGGGGCAGGGCAAGCTCTCAGGAGAACCAGAGACAAAGGTCCCAGAGGGAGCCAGACAGCGCGGGGCTGTGTGCACAGTGTGCTCTCTGCAGCGTGTCACTGCACCATCACGTGCAAGTTTGTGTGATGGTGTGCAGCTGTGCAGTTCTGTTTTTGTGTGACGAGGCGAGCGGGGGCAGGTCTGTGGTATGTCAGTGTGGCTGTGGCCGAGGCCTGGCCTGTGGCCGTGGGGAAGAGAGCAGGAGCCTTTTGGGGTACCAGGGCAGGCGGGCGGTGGGAGAGGGGCAGTCAGAGAAGTTTCCTTGGGAGGCGCTGAGATGGGGAGGGGAGGTAGGAACCAGTCTTCCCTGCCTGTGCCTGCCCCTGCCCACCGTGCTATCCCTGAGAGTCCAGACACGAAAGCTCAGTGCTTTGGTCACACACAGGGGCAGCCCCCAGGCCAGGCTGCACAGCTAGGCCCTGCCTGCCCTCCTCTCCTGCGTCTCTCCTCCTGCTCCCTTCAGCTGGCACTCCTCCAGCTGGACAACCCCACTCCACCCTGTTCCCCCATCATTGTTTCCAGCTGTCCTATCTCCGTGCCTTGGTTCATGCTTTCCCTGCCCGATGCTCTCTTGTGAAGCATTTGAGGTCCCTCTGATGCTGCCTCCATGAAACACTCCCTGCTCACTCCCTCTTTACTCAATGGGTGGACTGGAGACCCTCTCGGAGCTGAGGCCTGGTCCTGTGGGCCCCCGTCTCACCTCTGAGACTTGAAAGGGATGGGGGCTGGGACTGCTAGGGTCTTGCCCACAGAAGGGCTCTTAGGGGAGAGGTGTGGACAGAGCAAGGCTGGGGATCTCTGAGTTAGGGCAGCAAAGTGACACCACCACCACAGAATCACTCCACCCCATCCTATCCCCCCACTAACAAAATGAACAAAAGCCAAACAAACTGAAACAAGAATGCTGGTACCAGCTCGAGTCCAACCAAACAAGGACGTTTTATAAACCTTAAAATGTGATAGCAAAGGGAAGTAACAGAAGATTCTGGTGCAGTGAGTGAATGGTATGTCTCCTAACCCCATGTCCAAAACTAGTATTGAGAAAAGGCAGGTCAGCCAAACACCAAGAATTCTCGTGAATATACTGCAATCTGAGAGAAGTGGACTGTTGGGTGAGTAGGTAGCCTTAGGAAAAGTCTGGGGGGAAAATCTTTGTAAGCAGAAACCCCTATGCTCGTCCATGAGATCTGAGAGGCCAGAAGAGCTGCCATGGCTTGGTGCCTTCCAGGGTACAGGGCTGAGGTTGGGGGCTAACCAGAGCCGACAGGATGGGATGTGCCCTGCTCTCTAGCTGGAGAAGGATTCCTAACAGGGCCTCAGCAGCACTCAGTCCCATCAAGGTCAGTAGGCAGCCCCAGCCAAGTCACCCCCCAGGCCACAGAAGTGGGGTGGGTGGGTTTGGAAACAACAGCCAGCTTTCAAACTATGACTCCCAGGGGAAGATAAAGTGGTCCAGCCAAGACGGGAAGGTGCTTGACTCCAGAGCAAGGAGAGGTCTGCTCAGTGTGAGCCACAGCAGATATAAGAGCAAAGGAAAGGGCATGACCCTTAGGCACACAGACCACAGCCACAATACAGGTAGGGAGGAAGGAAAGAGGGAAAGAAGGGAGGGAGGGAGGGAAAGGAAAGGAACAAGGAGGACAGAATGCAAAAAATAGATAAAGAGCCCAATCTAAAAGGAAACACAACCAAAGGAATAAAAGCAGGCTCCTGGCAAGTTCTTCCTGTTACAGAAGGCCTTAATAATAGTATGAAATCAATAGAACAAGAACCCAAAAACAAGATGATAAAACAACAGAATGAGGTGAAAAGGGAGATAACAGAACTAAGGAAAAATAATAAAGGGCCAAAACAATACCGTTACAGATGTCATAAATAAACTAAAAACCGCAAAACACAGAATGGAAATGACTGAAAACCAAAGTAATCTGCAGGAAAGCCTTGAGATAGCAAGAGCAAATGTGATGGGAAAAGGTAAAGATGCTAAAGCAATTAGAGTGAAGTTAACAGGACAAAGACAAGCTACCATAAGCATAATTGTTGGCAGCCCTAAAGCTGAAGTTCCAAAAATGGAACGGAAAAAGTTATTGAAGTATGAAACATGGGAAAGCCTTCCCTGAAATGAAGGAATAACTGAATATTCAGATTATAAGTGCACACCATCGACTAGAAGACTTGATACGGAATAGTTGACATTAAGATACACTGATTTAGCAACCAAACTTTGAGGATAAAATAAGAATACTTTAGGAATCTAGGCAGAAAAAGCAAGTCATGTCAGGGGGAAAATTCGGTCTGAATCTCAGATTTCTCCAAGGTAACATTCGTCAAATGAAGAGAATGAAACAATACCCACAAAGTTCAGAGGGTAGAAAACCCCAGAATATAACCAACCAAGGGGTTGATCCCAATCATGAATTTGGGGATACAGAGCTCACCAGCCCCACTGGAGAAAGTTCTCAATGACAAAATTCAGTCAGCCAAGAGATGAATCAAAGTCAGATGCTGAGAAAAGGAGATTCCTCGTAAGAGGACCGGTGATGAACACTCATTCCATTTAGATTAAGATTCAACTGTGGGAACTTTCATTGCAGAACAGAATGTAAATATTGTAAATCCTGATAAAGTAAAAACAACATTGGCAACCTAATCTGGAATGGAGAAAAGGGGTAGAAAGGAAGGCAGAAGAACAAATCACACTTTCTTTCACAGTTCAGAGCAACTAATAAGTGTATAAAATGGAAACAATTGTAAAGCTCCTACTCCAGTCTCTTAACTGAAATTGTTTTTCTTAACTTGAGAGGGGTCTTTTAAGAATGAACTTTTTTTTGAGGTGAAGAAATATTTAGCTGAAGTTCAGCTATTCCTTCATTTTCACTTTAGTTTCTTTTCCCTCTATCAAATTCAAGTAATAGCACACTTTGGACTAAAATAATAGCTTCTATAGTGTGTCTCATTCATTTTTCTACCTGTCTGACTCTCTACCTCTCTCTCTCTCTCAAATCTTTGTGCATAAAATGTTAATGCTGACTTCTGGGTAGTGAGATTTTCAGTGATTCATTGCATTTTTCTTTGTATTCTTTTATATGGCTTATAAATCATTAAAAAATAATAAGCATGTATCTTTTTTCAGTTTTTAAAGACCATCTCTCTTTATCATCTATCTATTTAGATATCATTTATCTATTACTTTGGGTTTAAGGGAACTCAATCTTTTTTCTTTTTTTTTAATGAAGGGGAGGTAATTTGGTTTATTCATTTATTTCTATTTGAAGGAGGTACTGGGGATTGAACCCAGGACCTCCTGCATGCTAAGCATGAGCTTTACCACTTGAACTATACCCTCCCCCTGAAATCCCTCAATCTTGAACCTCAGAGTCCTCATCTTCAATCCAGGGATAACAAGATTTACATCAAAGGATGTGCTGAAGATTGTGAGATAATATACCACCCCCCTTGTGGTAGGCTGAAAAATGGCTCCCAAATAAGTCCACATCCTAATTCCCAGAACCTGTGAGTGTTAATTTCCACGGTAAAAGGATTTTGCAGCTGAGATTAAGTTAAGGCTCTTAAAATGGGAAGATTATCCTGGATTATCCTGGATTATCAGGTGGTGGGGATGTAATCACAACCATCCTAATAGAAAAGAGGCAGGAGGAGTCAGAGTCAGAGGAGGTGATGGGATGATGGAAGGAGAGACTGAAAGATGTAGGAAGGGGCCACCAACCAAGGAGTACAGGTAGCTGCTGAGAGTCAGGGGTCCCCGGGAGATGGGGAGACCTGGTCAGATATGTGTTTGGGAAAGACTGCTCTGGGGGCCGTGCAGAGGAGGGTAAGGAGGGAAGAGAACACGGGACCTGTGGTGGCTGAGAGCAGCAGCAGGCCTGAGTGAGGCGCTTTGACTGAACGTGTGAGGCCTGAGAGCAGGCGGGAGAAGGCCTAAGGCCAGGGCAGTGAGAACTGGGCTTTTCTTTTTCTTTTTCAAATCAGAGTATAGTTGCTGTACAATATTATATGAGTTACAGGTGTACAATATTATATGAGTTACAGGTGTACAATTTAGTGATCCACAATTTTTAAAAAATTATATTCCATTTTTTGTTATTATAAAGTATTGGCTATATTCCCCGTGTTGTACAATATATCCTGGTAGCTTATTTTATACCTAATAGTTTGTACCTCTTTCTCCCCTACATTTACGTTGTCCCTCCCCGCTCCCTGTCCCCACTGGTAACCACCAGCTCGAAGAGCTGTGCTTTTTAGAGCACAAAGTCACCACGTCTCGATGAACATGGGAGACGGAAGAGTCTTGTGCATCCCCTGCTGACGGGAAGGTGGCAGGGCTGTTTATTGAACTAGTTAGCACAGGAGGAGGGCAGGCTCTGGGCAAGTTGATAATAACCACGGTTCAGACGTTCAATCACTTGCCTCCAGGTACACAGCACGTTAAGGGACAGCCGAGCTCAGATGCAGACACGTCAAGTGTCAGGCACGAGTGTGACCTCTCGGTGGAAAGCAGTTACAGGTGCGCTCTGGGGTCAGACACAGCAGGACTCCTGTTGACCTGGGACAAGGTGATGGATCGATCCAAGGCTCAGTTCCCTTAAGTGGACAATGGGAAAACAGCACCCACCTCAAGGGGTCGTTGTAAGGATTTACTGAGATGATGTATATAAGGAAGTTAGCACAGTGCCTGCCACGCTGTAAACACTCCATAAATCTTACTCTTAATAACAACAGCAGCGGCGGCAGCACATCAGTCCGGGATTCGGGAGCAAGGTCTGGGTTGGTGTGAAAGTACTGTCGGCATAAAAATGGGCACTGAAGCCACAACACGGAGGAGGAGCTTACTTAAGGAGAGGAGAGGAGACGAGGCTGGTGGACGGAGCGCAGCTCACCAAGGAAGCTGAGGAGGGGCCAGAGAGGCGCGGCAGCCAGACAGCGGGCTGGAGTTGAGGGCAAAGCAGCAAACTGGGGTTTTTGTCCAGAGCATCCCTGCTGCTGAGGCATCTTGAGGAGGCCCTTATTGCCTTGAGCCCTGGTTCCTTCACCTGTTTCTTGGACCTGGTATGCACGTGAGGGAGATCTGTGATGAATGTTCGGCTCTGACAGTGTCTAAGTGCTTAATGAACAAGAGTTGTTGTTTTAGGAGGAAGAATATATGTTCCCAGAGAGAGTGGCTTCATGGAAGACACAGGAAGATAGGGTTTCAAAAGGGAATCAACAGCCTCACTGCTGCCAAGAAGTCAGCAAAGATAAGGGCAGAAAAGTACTCACTGGATGTGACAAGGAGATGAAAGCGACCTCGGTGAGCCAGCTTCAGGGATGGCGAGAGCAGCCGGTGGGGGCAGCGGCTGGGGAGGGATGGGAGGTGGGGAAGTGGAGCTGGGAAAGCAGGTGGCTGCTGGGCAGGGATGATGAGGAATGAAGAGGTGGGTAGCAGGCGGCGACAGGCACGGTTTTGAGATAGGGAACCAGAGCACGTGGCAAGCTCGCCTGCCCTAGAGCAGAACTGCTTCATGTCTACCTTGCCCCCACCTGCTGGCTCCAGCCCTGGGACCCTTTGTTCTCCACACAAGGCCTCTCTGTCTGGGCACAGATCGTGGTACAATCCCAGGACTCTGGGTCACCCAGTGCTGAAGCCAGGCACCTCCTCTCTCTGTCCTACATTCCAGTGTGGCCTAGGAAAAGTTGAAGTGGTTCCCACCTTCTGCCAGGGTCTTAGCTTTCATCCCTCTCCCTGCCTGCCTGGATCTGCACAGCCCAGGGGAGATGGACGGTAATAATAAAAATAGCGATCAGTTTTATCCTTTCTCCTGGTTCCTTGTCACGAGTATTGAAACATGCCCATGTAAGAAACATGTAAGAAATTTTTAGAAAATTTAAAAAACTTCCTCTAATTCCACATCCTTCTGTGTCTAGTCTCCTTCCTCCTAATCTTACAGTCAATCATCTATATTGCTTCAACTTCTTACTCTGGAAACCACTAAAATCTGGCGTCCACCGCATACCCCATCTTCACTGCCCACTGCGACTACTTCTTGCCAAGATGATCAACAGCCTCCTTGTTCTTAAGTCCAATGGTCCCTTTCTATAAACTACTGCACCTCTCTTTGATATTTTGGATTGCTGACCTGTCCCTCATTGAACCTCTGTCCTTTCTTGGCTTCCTTAAAGGTCTGTTCCCTCCTGATTTTCCTTCTACCTCTCTGACAGCTCCTACTTTATTTACTTTGCATATTTATTTTTCCTCTGCATCCATAAATGTTAATATGGTAGACTTCTTCATGTTTGGTTTCCCTTCTGGTGAGAGCTGTCTTTTACTCATATGGTTATCATAAGAATCACCATCTTATGCTCCCCCCTCCACCACCTCCACAGGTGCAGGGAATGGCATCTGACCAGAACCAGGCTGATAAGAGCAAGTCCTTGAGAATTTTGGAGCTGGAACTGAGCTGGAACTGAAAGAGATGAACGAACATTTTAATGAGGACCTGGATTTCAGTTATAGAGTTGAGAACTGTCAGAAGCTGGGTTTATTATTATTATGTGGACTGGAGGAGCACAGGCAGCCTGTCTGGAGAGAAAAGAGGAGAGAGAGAAGGCAGGGTGGGAACAATATGCAGGGCCTGTTCAATTCCTCTGGCTCTTCCAGGGTACCTCCATCCTGATTGCTGGGACCTCTCTGTTTTCTAATCAGGCATCAACGTTAGAGACCAGCCAGTCACTCAGCTTCTGCAATTCACAAGGCATATAATAATCTAGCTCCTAGCAGTCCCAGGTCAAGACTGAAACACTTGCCCTTAACCAACTTAAATAAATTAAAACATACTCTGTTTCTCCCTAACTGCTTGCAGACCACCATTTTGGACGTCCCTACGTTGCCAGGCAAATGTGAAGGTGCCTCCCATTGCAAAGTGAGTTGACTGGAATGCAGGTGAGTCTAGGGCATCATTCAAAAGCAGGACATACCAGCCCTGTCACTCCAGCCTATAGATGTCCCATGAAGCCAGGAGGCATAGACAGAGGGATCGAACAGGCCCCTAGACATGGTGCTAAAAAAGAAATTGCTCCAAGATCTTGCACAGACCCTGCATCTTCTTGGTAAAACTGAAGATTCAGAGAGCATGGTTCTATAAAACTCTACTATTGGTTATGGTAGCGGAAGTCTCTTGTGTCATGGGTGTTTTCATCTTTTAAATAGTTTTTCTATTTGGGAAAATTTTCATTTTAAAAATCCAGCCGCCTCAATACAGAAGTCAGAATTAAAATTCCCAGCATCCCTTCCAGCTTGTCTATAGGCATGCTGCCTTCCCCGTGTGAGACTTTGATTGGAAGTGAGCAAGATGAGTGAGGGAAATATCACTAAAATTCACCAGTATTTCTGGTTCTCCTCTCTTTCTGGGCACCAGGAAGATGGTACTTCCCTTGTTCCTTGATGTTGAGTGTGGCCGTGAGGTTTGTTTTGATCAATGCAATGTGAGCAGAAGCCAGTATATGTTTTTCCTCACTCCCTTCTGCCACAGCGAACTCTGAAGGTTCACATCAAGAAGGTGGCATCACCATAAGGTGACAGAGCCTCCAACAGCTTAGATCCCTGAGTGACCACAGGGATCAAGTCTCCTGCTTCCCTCTTCACCCATGCTGGAACTGCAGCTGAGCAAGAAATACACGTTCACTGTTTTAAACCAGTCAGATCTGGGAATTGTTACCTAACTAATTCTGACTGATATACAAAAGAAGCAGTTTGGACATAGGACTTCCATTTCTGCTGCTGCTGGTAGCCCAAGCGTCCAGCTTTTGAGGGGTGGTAGTGGTCACAAGCAGTGGCTTCCTAGTGGTTGCAATACTGAGTTCTTACCACAGACGTGCCATCGAGCTTGTAAAGTCAGCAGTGAAGTCGAACTCTTCATGCTTAGTACTTGGAGTGGCAATGACTGTGATTTCCTCATCGCATTGCATGGTATGGTTTGGGTGCTGTTCCTAGAAACTTAGCCTCAAGTCCATTTCCCCAGCCCTGCTAACAATTCTGAGCTAAATAATATCCTTTAACAAATCCCTTTTATAGTTCAACTATCCAGAGGGGATTCTATTATTTGTGATAAAGAACTCTAACTGATAAAATTACTCTATTTAATAAATCTTATGTTCCATCAATTCTAAGAGGCAAGTTATTTTATGTATTACTAAAAAAAAATACAGGCTTAAAAACTATTACAGGCCATTAATTGTAAGACATATTCTGATTTCACAGCTGTTTAAACTAGAAAAAAATGTGCTTTAGGATCAATGAACTGTGTTAATAGCAAAAGGAATTCTCCCCCCAGATGAAACTGACAGACAGCTGATTATGGTTTTAAGAGAATTGTATCATTTGGGAGGAAAAAATAAAATCATAAGCAACTCTCATAAATGCAGAGATCTGTGATTGCCCAATTCCAGGAAAATCCCTAAGACACCACCAGAAAGTGTAGTGCTAATTAGTACAGTGTCCCACAGAGAAATCCTCCACAGTGGTGTCCTCAGGGCTCTGGATAAGAAATCTCATCTTTGTGGGCAAAACCTGGGGCAGCCAGATTGGCTGATGGAGGAACTCTGTAGCCAAGATGCTAAGAGATTCCCTAGCCCCATCATTTTCATTGTTATTCATGGCCAAAATTATATAGATGATGTTCTGGATTAGTAACCACTGTGCACGGCTTTCTTTTTGCTCCATTTGATTCTCTATTTCTTCCATCTCTAAATGTAAGGGTTTTTTTTGGGGGGGGGGCGGTTTAAAAGTAGTTCAAAGGCAGTTCAAACAAAGGTAATGGGATTATTAGAAGCCATATTCAGAGAACCTTATGGAGAACTGACTAGAGCATGAAGGGACATTACCCAGAGAATCTATATATGAAGAACATTGGTCCTATGATATAACCTTCAGAAGCAATAGCTGGATATGTCATTGAGCTGCCCTCCCTTGAAGAGGAGCTGCATTTATTGGCATATGTACAGTGGGATGGCTGGATAATATAGGTGAGTGCATTTTTGGAATCATATGCATAGGGAAACAATGTGTGTTGGGCAAACAAAGGATGGACTATAGTGAACAACTGCCATTCTGCCTTTTCAGGATCTCTCTTCTGCTCCCCCAACCCCAGTATCCATGCAGTTATCTTGTGGGCCATGTTAGGCAATTTGATCCGCATCCATCCCTTGGCCACAGCTGATTGGTCCAGAGTTAAGTATCTAACTAAGCTGAGCCAATCAGAGTACTTCCTGAGGAATTCGCAAACCAAAAAAGGAAGCCAGTGTCTTGTTGGATGCCTAAGCATAATGTCAAAAGACGTTAAAGATTTTAGGCTTTGGGATTGTTGGAAGTCATGTTTTCACCATGTGGACCAGAAAAGCACTGGAAGCCAGTCTGGGGGTATGGATGATGGCTAGGACAGAGCAGAAGAGGGAAATGAAGGAGACAAGGAGAAAGCAAGAGAGATGAGAAGTGGAGAGAGAACCTAACGGCTTTTGTGTCTATTAGTTCCAGTTGTTCCTGAGGCATCCATGTCTTTGGGTTTCAGTATCTGATTATAAATGTCTCTTTTTGCTTAAACCAGTTCCTATTTTTCCTGGGTGAGCTTCAACATATCCAAAACAGAACTTATCATCCCCCACCAGCCAACCCCCTGCTGAAACTTATCCCTTCTCAGTCTTAGTAAATGGCATCACAGTATCCCTATCACCAACCTGGGAGTTATCCCAGACTTTTCCCTCCCTCTTACCCTCCATATCCTACAGGTCTTGCCAATTGTAATTCTCAAAATCTTCAGTGCTTTACTGGTCTCTCCACTCCTATTCCCCCTACATCATTTCAATCCCTTGTCATTACTCCTTGCCTTCACTCTCAAATGCCTTCAATCCCTCCTTCCACCCAGCAGCCCAAATCATCCTTCTAATTTCTGCATATGATCACATTTACTCCTCTGCTCAAAATTTCTCCAGTGGCTCCCCATTGTCTTCAGGATGAAATCTGAACTCCTGCAGCTGGGTCACAAATTCACTCATATTACGCTCAGATGTGCAATGATACATCTCCTCTCTTTCCTAGAACTGATTTGATCTTGTTCACAATGCCCCCACCCTGCTGGGTAACAGGGGCAGGGGGAACTAAAATTAATCCACAAACTCAGTCAGGTTCAAAAATTTATTTTAGGCAGTCTCTAAGTAATTCAGTTGGTTTGGATGACTCAGTCTTTCAGGTTATTTTACCTTTCCCTTTCTCATTTTCAAGATAGCATTTGGATTTACAGGGATCTCATTGGGGGAAGGGGCCCCTTAGCCATGTGGTCCTTGGGGTTGTGTCTGTTGGCATTTGATGGGATGTGGTCGGTCTGGTATAAATAGTGAACTACAACCCTGAGCGATAGCTATTACTAAAACCATTTTACAGATGAGGAAGCTGAGGCTAAAAGAGATTAACTTGCTCAAGGTTAAAGTGGCAGAACCACTCTGATTCTGGTAGGCACTTAGATCTGCACCTAGAATTCTAGGTAAGTTAAGGCTGGATTTTGGAGGA